CTTATATACATTCCCCTCCCTCCCCTCCCCTCTCCTATTTCAAATCAAACATGTGCTTTTAAATGTGGGACAAACTTTGAAGTGGGTGTGAGGATGCTTGTTTGAGCAGCTAACATGCTTCATTGCACATTTTGTACAAGCAATAAATTATAGTATTTATACAACAAAAAAGGTTGTCAGGCTTATAGGATGCTTGTTTTGGGCTGCCAACGTTCTTTTTGCAAGTGTGATAACATATGGTGGTAGCAGAATCTATAAACTCACAGGTTTTACATTAGGGCACCCAACAAGGAAATGTGCCAACGAATCTTGTGGTAGGGAGCTATGAACTAGGATTTCACAGATATTTTTGGTGTAGAAAAGCGACTAAGGGATTATTGGAGAGAAGGTGGATGTTCAGCGTCGTTTTTCAAGATATGGAAATTCTTCCTAATGACATGTCTAACTTTGAAATTGAAAGGATGATTAAGATAATACTAGGGGAATTTTGTTGTCACCTGTGTCATTGGACACAAGGTCTGTAAGGGTCTCACATTGGAGCATTTGGAAGGCCTTCGAAAAGGCAGTGTTTAATAGAGAGATGGGATAGCCACGTTGGATGAAAAAGTGTCTCATTTCCAGACTTTTGGCTTGGAAATCCTCCCCTTCACTGCAAATACGGCGAAGGTGAAGGAATGGAGAGAAGGGAGTCGACCTTTCGGTGTCGCTGGGGTGGGAAGATGAAAATAGAAGATAGCTATGGGAGTCGCTGGGCTTGTAGAACACAGAAGTAACTAGTTTATGTCATTGATTAATAGAAGGATATCTAAGAATGTTTCGCGGGTCTCACTGATCTCCCATGACATTTCGTCACACAATCCACCATGACATTTTCTTCCCCATGTATCCATGCACCTAAACAGACAAGAAAATCGTCTAGGGGTGCACCGGATTTCAAATTCCGGCCGGATTTAACGAATTTTCCGGCCGAATTTGGAGAAAATCCGGCCGGATTTAAATTTCTGTTTTCACCTTAAAAAAATCACCAAGAGTGGGATAAACCATCAATTTGGCAGCTTTAAAGTTTAAAAAACACTTATATTATTATAAAATATTAAGTTATTAACAAAAAGATGTTTAAAAAAGGTTTAAACACAATCAAAAATCTAAACTGACACTAACTAAAAATAGTAAAAAACATAAACCGTCATTTTGAATACTGATTTATCCCCCAATTGTCCCCATTACCGGTTTATCTCAAATCCGGCCGGAATTTTTGTCCAAATCCGGTAAATCCGGTTCCGGTCGGATTTGAAAATTCCAAATCCTGTGCCCCTAAAATCGTCGCTGCACAAAACCACAAGCACGGGTCACAGATGGCACATGTAAATGATAGAAAGGTTCAGATTTGACATCCACTAACACTATAGCGCTACTTAAAGTGCCTATGACACGAAATTTCACCCCAAAGGTTTATGGTTGCACTGTAAAGATCACTTAAAATGACCTAGTTAACAATTTCTTTTATAGAATATTAGAATTTTGGTAACTTGCTCCCTTTTCAAGATATTGAACTTTGTTTCATATGCAAATATTACCGGTGTGACATCACATCACATAATGAGTTTTCAGAAATGTATCGTTTTCTTGACGAATACGTATCTAAAAAACTTAAAAATTGCCCTTGTATATGTATTAATTTAATAACTGGTAATTAACCCTCTGTATTTGTTTGTAAAAAATTTTATCAAGGTAAAATATTGCGTTTTCACAATGTCATTATGCGATGTGATGTCACACCGATGATATTTGCATATGAAACAAAGTTGAATATCTTGCAAAGGAAGCAAGTTATCAAAATTCTATAAAAGAAATTATTAAGTCATTTTAAGTGATCTTTATAATGCAATCATAAACATTTAGGGTCAAATTTCGTGTCATAGCCACTTTAATACGATGGCTTAATACGCATTTGATTGGTGAATCGGGTAGATTAAACGCGTCTGATTGGTTAATCGTAGCGGTAGCAGAAGACAAAATATCCCCCCCCTCCCGTTGTCTTGTTTAAAAAGCGCGAACTTTTCCATGTAGTTAAACTATGACAATTTCTTGTAATTTCGGCCCCCACCAAATCATCCCAACCACTAAAACCAATGAAGCAATTTTTCGCTCATAATTCTTCAATTCGGAGGGTTTTCCGTTGGGATGGGGGTCTGTGTTCCTACAGTATGTACTATGTTCCCTTGAACAATAGGGATTTTAAGACTCTTGACGACGAATTAGCGACTACGTTTGAAATAGTTTTTGTTATATGTATGCAAATACTAAATCAGTAAATGATTCTCATAACAAATTTATCCCAAATTTGTTTTATGTGCATGGTTTTGTGTTCGGTAAGTTTCATCTATTAATTTTCATCATTTCTTTATAAAAATACTCTCCAACCTGCAACGTTGTGTAGTCAGTTTCGGTGCTATGTTAGCCCGCGTGCAGACCCAAGGGAAGAATCATAGATATAGGAGATCTAGATTGCTAACGCATACCTAGCGCAGGCGGGGCCTACATGATAAATCCAAGATGGCGGTACAACAGGGCAAAAAGACTATAGATTCTATTACGAAAATCAGGATTTTTGTATTTTTTGCCGTCGCATTGTTTCGAAACTTATTCGGTCAAATTTTATGGTAAAGAGAAATTTACTGCGAAGATTTTGAGCATATATATGATTGAATTGGATGAAAAATCGCAAAATTATCCATCGATAAAAGTTCGTGTATAGTACTTATATAGTACTATATATGTAACTTGTACAGTTTTGCTTGAATTTTTGCTCACTATTTGCATAGAAAGCAAATTATAACAGACCATAGATGATAGACCCTCATCCAGTGCTCTCATCAGTTTACTTCTCTAACAAGCAAGGAGGGGGGGGGGGTACATAACAGTTCATTTTTCATAATTATGAGGACAGAGCAGATGATGATGAGAGATGCAAGTATAAAACACCATTCACAAGGCTAGATGTTAACATAGCACAGTATTTCTGGCAATAAAACGCTCCAACTGACCAACTGACCATTTCACACAAACTTTTATCGCTGGATAATTTTGCGATTTTTCATCCAATTCAATCATATATATGCTCAAAATCTTCGCGGTAAATTTCTCTTTACCATAAAATTTGACCGAATAAGTTTCGAAACAATGCGACGGCAAAAAATACAAAAATCCTGATTTTCGTAATAGAATCTATAGTCTTTTTGCCCTGTTGTACCGCCATCTTGGATTTATCATGTAGGCCCCACCTGCGCTAGGTATGCGTTAGCAATCTAGATCTCCTATATCTATGGGAAGAATAGTGGGCCTGCAAGCAAGGCCCGTTATTTTGTACTTTCCGCGTTCGCCCACGAACGCAGCATTCTGATTGGCAGTTTGCTGTTGGATTCTATAATTAATAATTAATTAGATCAGTGATTCATCACAAAGGCTCTCGATAAGCTTAAAATTCGAAAATTGATCACTTTTTTCAATTAGAAATGGAACAAGAACGGACTGTTTAATGTTTACTTGAAGGAAGAGATGTTTTTGCCGTTATGCCAATGGGGATTGCTTGTCGTGAGGTGTTGGAATAGCAACATTTAATACGACTGGGGTAAACTACAATAGTATAAACCTTTACTTGAGTTTCATTAATTTCAAACAGACTTGATACGTTATATGTTCCTCAAGAAAATTACCTTTTGGTTGATGTTGACTCTGTTCTTGCACTGAAGAAAACAGCGCTTTTCGCGGTGAAGATTTAGAGGCAGTTGCATGTAAGCCTATTCGAAACATTTTGCGATTTGCAAGGCTTCGCTGAGAGGGCGAAACAGAATACGGTAATTTCCGTTTGAAACGAAATGATCTGGACGCTCTGAACGCTCTCTTCCTTTGTAGAGTTCTTTACCAAATGAAATAACTGAAACAAATTTCGTACTTTCCGCCGCCAACAAGAATTGCACACACGATCTGATAAGTGAGACAATTTATTTATAACAATGGCGACAGCGAAGCACACATTAAGCCTAGTTGTCGCTGTTACGACAAGCGGTAGATGTGAAATAGTCTAATATAATTATAGTCTTTTTGTGTGTTATATGCAAATCACTCTTAATGATTGCAGAGTTTTATAAAGTTTTGTTGACACTCTATTACATCAGCCACTTGTTGTGCCTGCAGCGACAACTAACGACCAAATGGAAACTATAGGCTTTAATGCTAATATGGTCGCACGACTTCCCTCACGATTTGAAGTTTGAGACTGGTTTTCTGTTGAAATTCTTCCTAATTTGCCTGTTCCGATTTTAGTTGAAAATGAGCACTTGCAAGTTTGGCAATTACTGACTGCGTTGATTGCTTTTTTGGAGTTAAAACGCGCAGCCATTTACACATTGTTTATGTTCTAAATAAGCAGAGAAAACCCCGCAACATTTTAATGAGAGTTTGTTGTTAATATTTGGGTTGCTGTCATTGGTTCTTTTTTGACAATTGACGCGCAAATGGGGCGTGTTATGAAAAGGGGCGTTTTACAAAATACCGGGTCTTGCTTGCAGGCCCACTATTCTTCCCCCGGGCCTGCACGCGGGCTAGTGCTATGTTCTTGATTCTGTTTTACAAGACAATAATGTGATTTTTACGCTATACAGGGTGTCCCAAAAAACCCGCAAACTATTGAAAAAACGTATTGTTAGAATTTGAATGCCTCAGAACTCTGCTGAACTCACAAGTGCATAAAAGCATGACATAAGTAAATTTTATGCATAAAGAACTGTTTAAGAAGCTGCTTTAAATTCCCAAGAGCAGAAAATCGTGCGCTTTACAAAGATATTTTAATTTGTTAATAGGTCAATATTTATAATATATGCACCCTGTCAATATTTTACGCATCTTTGCGTTCCATCTTAGTAAGGCATTCAAATTCTAGCAATACGTTTTCTTTAGTTTCCGGGTTTTTTTGGGACATCCTGTAGACAAGGTCCCTACCATAGATATAGGAGATCTAGATTGCTAACGCATACCTAGCGCAGGCGGGGCCTGCATGATAAGTCCAAGATGGCGGTACAACAGGGCAAAAAGACTATAAATTCTATTACGAAAATCAGGATTTTTGCATTTTTTGCCGTCGCATTGTTTTGAAACCTATTCGGTCAAATTTTATGGTAAAGAGACACTTACCGCGAAGATTTTGAGCATATATATGATTGAATTGGATGAAAACTCGCAAAATTATCCAGCGATAAAAGTTCGTGTATAGTACTGATATAGTACAATATATGTAACTTATATACAGTTTTGCTTTAATTTTTGCTCACTATTTGCATAAAAAGCAAATTATAACAGACCATAGATGATAGACCCTCATCCAGTGCTCTCATCAGTTTACTTCTCTAACAAGCAAGGGGGGGGGGGTACATAACAGTTCATTTTTCATAATTATGAGGACAGAGCAGATGATGATGAGAGATGCAAGTATAAAACACCATTCACAAGGCTAGATGTTAACATAGCACAGTATTTCTGGCAATAAAACGCTCCAACTAACCAACTGACCATTTCACACGAACTTTTATCGCTGGATAATTTTGCGAGTTTTCATCCAATTCAATCATATATATGCTCAAAATCTTCGCGGTAAGTTTCTCTTTACCATAAAATTTGACCGAATAAGTTTCGAAACAATGCGACGGCAAAAAAAGCAAAAATCCTGATTTTCATAATAGAATCTATAGTATGTTTGCGATGTTACTCTGAGTGCATATCCACACCGGACGAGCTTGAAAAATATGCTCAGCCACGGTGGGATTCGAACCTACGACCTTTGGAATACTAGCCCAATGCTCTTCCAACTGAGCTACGCGGTCAGGACGGTTCGAGTAAGTGATATTTCGGAACAGTATCTAGTTCCTTCAATACCAATGTGTTCTAGTAATCGCAAACATATTATTCACCTGAGTACACAACACCACCACAGAAAAATTCATATTACTAGAACACATTGGTATTGAAGGAACTAGATACTGTTCCGAAATATCACTTACTCGAACCGTCCTGACCGCGTAGCTTAGTTGGAAGAGCATTGGGCTAGTATTCCAAAGGTCGTAGGTTCGAATCCCACCGTGGCCGGGCATATTTTTCAAGCTCGCCCGGTGTGGATATGCACTCAGAGTAACATCGCAAACATATTATTCACCTGAGTACACAACACCACCACAGAAAAATTCA